AAACCCTTATCACGTCTTGAGAAGGAGAGTAAATATTCTAGTACACTCTTACCTACTGGAGATCTGCCTAAACCAAGGAATAATTCTCATCAGGTACCTCCCTTATCAGATTTCAACTTGCCAATAGAGTTAGGTGATGTTGACGGGGAGTAAGGGAGATGGTTTGGATTTAGTGGTAGTGGCGACAACTGTTCACATAAACGAAGTCAATCTACGATATTAACATTGTTGATTTAGTGATTCAAACACTTTTTGAATAAACTTGTAATTCACGGGGTTATTCACAGTATATACGAGTTTTATTATTGTTCTTGGGTTAATAGACACGGGACATTGTCCCGTGTCTGTTAAGGTGATTTGTTGAATTGCTTTAAAGCACAGAACTGCATTCCCATTTTCGACAATATCATTCCACTCTTTGGCCATAGAACGCTGCCAAATCACTTCGGTCACTGGGAGAGTTTAAGCAAAAGGGTTGAGGAAATATAAAATGTAGGAAGAAATCTGGAGGGATATTCTCAAAGCTTAGCTCAAAACGGGGTCTTGCTTACATGTTTGCATCAATTAAAGCACAGATAATTCTTGAAGGCAGCTCTTTATAATCCCTATTGCTAAGGTATAAATCTAACCCGTGTATTGTGCCAATCCTTAATCGAAGAGTGTAATTACAAAAGAACAATGAATTTTGACGCGTCTTTTTAAGAAATTCCTTATACTCATTCTCAGCCGCTCCTAATAAATGTGAAATAATTAGCACCGTAAATTGTGTTTAATAATTCGGATGCCCACTTTTTTTTTCAGTCACATCTAATAAAGCTCAGAGCCCAGTCTGTAACTTATCCTTGAAGAAAGTTTTTAGCGAGGCAGCTAGTATGTTTTGGGTCATTACCTTGAAGCCGCTCATTCATCTCCCAATTCTGGAGCTGTCTCCATAGAAGAACATTCTTTATTCTAGAATTTTGTGTCCAACCTAATTGAGATTCCATTTTCGGATGTTGCGTTTATTTAATTAACGTTATTATTATGTGACATCGAGGTCAATCGACATAGCAAAAAATGTGCCAGAATTTTTAAGGGAATTGAGAGATCTTGCACTATCAAGAATGGAGAGTCAGCCACCCATCGACTCTACCGCTAAACTTAACGACGGGCGCGAAATTCCTCTTGGTAAATATCTAATTATCACGTCATTGTTATAACAAGCTTTAATAAGAGTTCATGTTAATTTCTTCTTCAAGGTCTTGGTGTCTATCTTTCGCCACCCGGTGATGTTACCAAAACGCTGTGTTGGCGGCCCTGGCGGTAAGGATGAATCTAGATATACGAGTAGTATATTGCACAATAGATATAAGTAGCATATTGCCAACATACTGAGGTTGGAATGCATATTATATGCAGGTTGGATGTCGTCACGTAGACTTTATATCGAAATGAGGCTAACCCCGTAGGTTTTTGCATGCAATGACACTTGCAAAGATAAAACGATTGCAAAGTTAATTCACAATTCTCCTGGATATACCTTAAAGGGATAGTCCTCCGCGTGATGAAGTTTTTGTAACGACCAAATCCGGAACTCCCACCAAGGATACGAAAACACGCTCGCAGCGGCCGACACATCGCTGGCCAAGCTCAACACCGGTTACATTGATCTGTTGTTATTGCATTCGCCTTTGCCGGGAAAGAAGAAACGACTGAAAAGTTACAGAGCTTTAGAGGAATTGGTCAAATCAGGAAAGGTGAAAAGCATTGGAATATCTAACTACGGTGTCCAACATCTGAGGGAACTATTCCAGAGATTAAACCCGCGGTTAATCAGATTGAGGTATTTACACGCGAGTGTCGTGGTAGCACAGACGTTATCGATGGTATGCTGTGTATTAGTTTGTCATTTTAGGATATTCCTTATTAACGCCGGGGAACCGTCATCAGGTACACCCGTGGTGCCGCCGACAGGATTTTTGCAAAGCCAATTCTATTGTCGTTGAGGCATACTCACCATTAGCAAAAGCTCAACGGCTTTGACGATGCCAATCTTGTCCCAATTGCGCAAAAGCACAACAAAACTTCTGCACAAGTTTTAATTCGTTGGGGTCTCCAGCATGGCTTGCCGAAAAGTGTACATAACGAGCGAATCACGAGCAATGCTGACGCTTTTAATTTTCACCTTGATGATGCTGATATGGGAATCCTCGATGGTTTGGATGAAAATTTCGTAACAGGGAAGGTTGGATATTAGGCCTGTAAATTTGAACTTCTTTGGGGAAACCAATTGTTAATGAAAAGCCTTGCAACAAACAGCTTGAGATCCAACCGCGTGTGAGTAAGAAAATTATCGGAAAGAATAAACTTCTCTGAAATAAGCCTTCAATTACAATTTCTACCAACCGAGCACATATTTACTGATTAAGTTAAAGTCACTACATGATCCACAAATAAATCACTTGTTGCACCATTTATCTTCTCTAAGTTGTATTGTCCGATTGAGACTCTCTAATCTCGATAATAGTCTCAATGCAAACCTCCCTACCATTCTGCTCACTTTCACCTGCTCTCGCTATCCAACCACGTACAAAAGCATGTCGTGGGCTCCATAACTTCTGCGTATTCCTCGACAACCGATCAGCGTTTCCTCCTAGTAGTGACAGATGAGTCGTAAGGAATTCTGACCAGTAAGGAGACGAGAAGTAATGGAATATAAAGAAATGCGACTGTTGAAAGATGAGCGGAGGTAGTAGGGTTGGATTCGACGTGGAGATTAGCATATTGGTTTTGTAGTGGTGTATGCGAGATTGGATTTGCTGGATTCTCGGTGTTAGAGGCGAAGTCGGTGTGAGGTACTGATAGCGTAAATGTGAATGGAAAACGTGTTATCATGGAAATATGCGCGGACTTTACGGTTCACCAAATTAATGCTTTACCTTTTCTGCTTCTTCTAGCACTAACATCTTCTCAACATTCGAATCATCCTCGCTGAATTTTAATCGTGTGTAGATGCCGACCGCAATCCTAAATAATACAGATGCTAATACTGCTCCTATGATATAATCACTCAAATCAATAATGACGACATTCCCTGGTTGAAAAGCTTCACTGAAAGCATCATGCCTGTCATTGGGTTTCTCAAAGAACGATTTCAAGCGACGGATTCTATTGCCAATATATTGCTTGACGCGAGACGTTGAACAATCCTTCGCCTCTAATTGCAAAGCAAATTCGGAGAATCTGAATGTTTCAGAGTCTCCACTCTCATAAAGAAACTCCTCCACCAGTTCCATACACTCGACAGCGACCGCTGTGTCAGGATTAGCTTCCATCCATGCCTGAAGTATTCAAAGTCATTGTTAATACAAAATTTGGTAGAAAGATAAAACAGATGATGGGGGGGGGGGGGGGGAAACTCAATGGTACGTGTTAGGAACAGTGCGCACGCAGTATTAAAGTGACAATGTGAAATGATGTAAATAAGCAAGTGGGAGAACGAGTTACAATAGAAAATGTTCATCCAATTACTTTGACATCATCTTTGGTAATTTCTTCCTCCAGGAAAATCAATGGCCTCACTTCGCAATTCTGTATGTCTTGATACACCTTCTTCATTTTCTTCAAGGATGATGGTGTAACAAATATAATCTTCTTCAAAGCCGTAGTTTCATTTATTCCTTGATCAGTCTTGTCGTCCTGTTCGCTGCTTTTCATTTCTTCATTTGCATTGTCATCCTCTTCCTTCGCTTCTTCCTCGACATTCTCTTCATGTTTCTTCGCTTCATCCTCGATATTCTCATCATTGTCATAATCCTCATTATCCTTCTTCTGTTCCTTATTTTCCTCTTTATCACTTTTACTTTCCTCATTCTCCTCGTTATCGTTCCTCACTTCGACGTTCTCCTCGTTCTCCTCGTTCTCTTTCTTCTCAACGATTTTATCATCTCCATTATCCTCGTTATCCTCGTTATCTCTCTTCTCAACAATTTTATCATCTCCATTCTCCTCGCTATCCTTGTTATCTCTCTTCTCAATAATTTTATCATCTTCATTCTCCTCTTTCTCATCACTGTCTACATTCTCTTCCTCGCCCACCATCTCATCAATTCCAGCCTTAACCTGGTTACCTACAAAAGAACTCACACACGGAAATTCAAGTCCACTCGAATCATATCTTAACACCAGCGGACAAGTTATTGCCTCTGGCTTTACCATCCCTGGTTTGCCCATAACACAACCCTCCAAAACCACTAATTGTGTATGTTCCATTCCCGACCCACTATCTCCAATCAACATGGTACTACACGGAACAGAATAGTTCAAATATGTAGGTTCCGGGTACGTAGAAAATTGAGTGTAATTACAGGATGAGGGAAAGTGAGACTGTAAAACTTCTTGGGACAAAAGAGGGGCAGGGTGATGGAGAGATGATGACCATAAAGTAGGCGTAGAAGTTGGAAATGTGTGGGCGTGAGGATTGAATTGACATTGTGCATACGTAAATGGTTGGGGCTTTCTCGTATAAGGAGAGGACTCTTCTTTATTCGACTCCACATAAATGTCATCTGCATTCTGCATTCTATGTTTCCCTTTCCTTTCCTCTCCTACGCCTGCACCTTCGTGTTCATTTCTCTTTACATTGTCAAGCTCTATACTGGAACTGAATCCTGGTATATTGCTTCCTTCATAGTATACATGTTCCGTACCTTCTAGGATTTCAACCCTTTTTACTCGTTCTGGAACTGTTCGACTCGTCATAGTACCGCTCGTTCCCGCCGACCGGATATTAGCACTTGACGATGAAAGTACGCTTTCAGTCAATAATGCACTAGCATGTACGTTAGTTGGGTACGTTTGTGGAGAGTAGCTTGTTCCTCCCGCGGAACGCGTACTAGTCATCTCATAAGAATCAAATTGAGTGGGAGAATAACTGGTCGAGGTAGTTGAGGTTGGCGGAGGAATTTGGGAATGAAAAGGTTGATTAGAGTAGGACGTTACAGGTTTTCGTGGAGGAAGTACAACGTTGCGATTGCTTGTAAAGTCTATTGACTCGTCGTCGTTAGGATTGCCTTTTGACTCTGCATATTCGGAGTTTTCAATCGTTGAATGTTCTATCTTTTCCACTACTGGACGTTTATATCCGTCAACAAAACGAACCACCCACTGATTTGATGATTTGGTTAGAGTAAACTCTTTGTGATTCTTTATAATTTCTATAACTTTATATTCCGGATATTTTCCATTCCAATTCAAATGAGCCGTTAACGCAAATACTTCAGCTGGTTTACTCTCTACAAGAAGATATTTTTTTATGAAATCAACTGGTATTATATTCGGAGGATATATCTGATGTGAGACAAATATGTCTGAAGCTGCTTGAGAGAAAGTGAATTCCGGGAATTTCTCCAAAAAGTCAGTTAGTTTTGTCCTAGGTGGGAGACTGTGCTTGCCAAGATAGTCGCCCAGAACAGAAACTCTTACTGTTCCCTTGTCACGAAGATACTTTCTAGCTCTTCTTGCGAGTTCAATTTCTGTTGATTGAACGCCTAGGTTTCCCTGCATGTCTCGGAACTTGAATTCGGAAAGTCCGGCAAGGAAATCTTTCATTCTAACCTTTGGTGTAAAACCTTCTCGTTTCAAATAGTCTGCTAAAGAAGACAACTTAGAAGGACCCATTTCCATTAGGAATACTTTGATGTACATCAAGGTATTCTCATCAGTCGTACTGAGTCTAACCATTGTGTCGTTTCCTACTCTCATTGTCTTGAATTCTTTTCTGTATCTAATGACTACTTCAGAGAACTTCATAGGCGGATTCGGTATGTGAGGTGTCAGCATTTTTTCTAGTTCGGCGACGGTCAGTAAACCATGCTTGACAAGACATTCGCGTACAACACGGAGTAGATATTCTTTACTAGATCTTTGCCTGCTGTATGGTATATGTGGTTGGATGGTCTGAGCTTTAGAGCCTGGCAATACTTTAATGTAAGTTATCCCTCCCGATTCGATACATTCGAATGAAGACTTACATCCCCTTAAAAAGTCTTCTATATCGTCTGTAATAGCATTACGAAAACTTCTAAGATGTATTATTAGCTCAGGCAATGCCACGCCTCCTTGTAATCCGCTATGTTTGGCTAGATAGTCAACGAGTAGTCTTTCTGTTTGAGTAATTCTACTCTTTGCCATTGTTTTTGTATCCTTTGTAAACATATGTGCCATTTTGACAAGCCTTACGCAAGCGACCCCGTTGTCGGTGAATACCTCGAATATGTTCCTATTATCGCGAAGTAATTCTCCAATTGTTTGGTCAGTCAAGCATTTCTGCGAATTGAGGTGTTTTTCTAATTCGTAAATTGTCTCGGCATACGTGGTTTCAAGGTATTTTTTGGCGATGGCAACAGCTGACATATAAATAGAATGTAAGATGGTGAGTATGTAACGTAAGCAAGTATCGGTTCATGGTGTGAGCATCAATTAACGTGATTGCCGTTCTTGTCATAAAAAATATACTCATACCATAACGTGATCCATTCTCAGCGTTTCTAGAAGGTCTCATTGACGCGTCTTCTAAGCTGTCATCACTATCAATATCGTTGTCATCTTCCAGATCATCTTCTAGTTCGTCTTCTAGCTCATCATCATCCATATCACGAGGAATTTTATAGTCCTCTCTCATACGATCAGGTAATGTTTCTCCGTCAGTCTCCTTCTTCCTCCGTTTAACTATGGCAGGGCCCTCGTCTTCCTCGTTCAATTCGAATTCGTCAGCATATAGTCGTAGGATTTCATGTAAATCATCTGAGCTGATAATCAGACTCTGCGTTTCCAGCCATTTTGACAGGGCTTCGATATCTAGAGCCCAGAAATAGTCATCCGCAAAATAGATTCTTATGGCGCCGATGATTGGTTCTTTATTTATTTCTTGACTCATTTTGAGAATTTTTATAGGGCAGAAACCATAAAGGAAGAGTGGAACCAAATAATAAACTTGAGAAAGGGAGCAATTGAGGGATTAATTGTCGTGGTTTGTTTGCGGCAAAGTTACAGCCTCCTGCAGTAAAGAAGTGGGGAAGTAACAATTTCACCGGTGAATGTTTGTTGACTATTTATCTCAATTAATTTTTACTGTGAGTATAAAAAAATTGACAATGGGGATGTTGTCATACTTAATCGTACTCGTTGTACCACGCTAAACAGTATACAACGCGTAGTGTTGCACAGTACAAAATAGGAAGGCTGTATTTGATGTTTTAGGCAATTTATTCGTTATTTGTGAAACATGATCTACAGCGATCCGCATTCAGCTGCGGTAATGATGCAATTTTTTTTCAAAGGCGCAGCCGATGTTAATTTGTCAAATTATCCATTGCTTTTTATAGACATTTCAGATCATTATATAAATTCAACAACCTCAAACAACCTCGATGACATTCCGTATAAACTGTATTCGTCATGGACGTGCGCAGAATATTGGTAAGCAATGGATAGAGAAAGGTTATAATACGAACAATCCTGATAATATATTGCGATTCTGACATTAATATCTGCCATTTATTATAGTTAGTAGGACTCGGTAATCATACTCATCCTAACACTCGTCACAGTGTGGGTTTCCTGGCAGTGGATTACATAGCAGAACAATTAGGACTTAAGTGGACTCGTGATAAAAATTATATTGCCAACGTTGCATCTACTACATTATCAATTGATCTTCCGCGAACAAAACAAAAAAAGCAAAAGGAGAAGAAAGCTGTTCGAATAAAGGATTTGCAAGAGAGTAACAAAAAAGTTGATAACAATGATATTGAGAACATAGCATTGGACGATAATGATACGAAGGAGAATCATGAAAATAAGAATGAGAATAAAAGTGGGAGTGAGAATGGGTTGATCGGGGTAAAAACCAAAAAAAGAGACATAGAGCAGCCGAGAGTCGAACCTATCAGATTGGAGATGACTCTGATGAAGCCTGGTTTACTGATGAATCTAAGTGGGAAATCCGTTGGCAAAGCAGGTAACTATCAACCTATTTTTATACACTTATCGGAAAAGCTATCGATAGTTAATCAACAAACCATATATATACAACATAAGTCACAACAACTTTTGTATCATTTTGAAGCATAAAATAAGGAAATCCATTTCATCGACAATCATTTCATCGACAGTACAGTTCGTCTCGCCAAAAGTAAATTTAAAGCATTAATGCCTCTAATTTATGCTTTAATACTGCTTTAATATTCTATCATTATAATAGGAATTGTAAAGATAACGCGGGATTATGAAGTTAGTAATGAATAGGGAATTTACGGTATTATTGGTTATCTTTACAATTCCTATTATAATGATAGTTATTAAAGCAAAATTTAAGCTGTCGGCGAATTGCACTGTCGATGAAATAAATGAACCGGAAGATGATATACGCACATAATACGATTTCATCTTTCTAACTTATTTGATCGGGCATAGCTTTACAGTTATAAACGGTTGCTGATATATAACAATATTATTAAAAATGCAATCAATTGGCTTCAAAATGATACAAAAATTATTGTGATATACAGGTCTTAAAGAAGATTTTTTAATATGTTCTATTTATTGATTATCAAGCTGATTCGATACTTTTGTCCGATGCTTATGACAAGGCATCACTACGTGATTGTCCGCCATTAAACTGACCCATAAACCAATTTCTTTGAACCGAACTCCTTCAATATAGTGAGGAACCTCCACATTTCACCATCGAATATCATCGTAATACATGACGATATGCAGCGAGAACTTGGAAAAATCAGTCCCAAGTTCGGGGGAAGTGCCAAGTAAGCGATTGCAAGCAAATCAAGTCTGTTATTGCCCCCGGCATTTCTTTCGCATTAACGAAATTTTTAACGCCTTTTTCAGCGGACACAATGGAATAAAATCAATAATAGAATGTTTGCGTACGGATGTAAGTCAATAATTGAGCCCTTTCTTACTTGCTAATTTGAGTATGTGCTAAAGCAAGCTCCATATATACTTTTGATTACAGCAATTCCATAGGTTACGGATAGGCATTGGCAGACCACCAAGTCATATTGATGATCGCTCACATGCGGTTGTGTCCTCATACGTACTGCGGGCATTCACTCGTGCAGAGAAGGACATGTTATTGAATGAAGTATTCCCGAAGAGCAAAGATGAAGTCATAAGACTCTGTACAACTGGGACAAAATGAACATTGTGATTTTTTTTAAACAAAAGTAAATCTACATAGACCTAATATAAGAATAGATGTCAAAAATAATATAGTTTTTAATCTTGCTGATGGACTTTGCGTGGCAACTCCTGATGGATCAATAACTAATATTTAATGCTTTTTTAATATTTGCAAAATATTATAAAAGAAGGGGTCAAAGCTTCCAACCCACAAAAACAGCTGGACTTAAATACTCAATCCCGTCAAAATTTATATTAAAAAACCCCAGAAGTATAGAGTTTAAAGGATAGTGTGCAATACATGTCACGATTACAATACCCTTTATTGTAATTAAATGCAATTAAGTTAAGTACCCTTGTCGTATATCATAGCAAAAAACTTGATTATACTAATTTCTATCCAAGGTGCTTCTATCACATACACAAAGTGTTCCTCTCATCTTCTTTGTATTTTATGAAAGCGATCAGATTCTCATAAGCCTCATCTGCACGAAGTCTTTGATCGCGAGCCTTCCGTTTATCTATTGATTTGGCCTTAAATGGAAATTCAAATTTAGTATCCACAAACGCACGTTGATCCAAGAGCCCTGATCTTATCAAAGAGACACAACACGCTTACCATTTTGCCAACAGTTCCAACCAATCCTTTTAAAACTTCGAGGTATCCTCCGTCTACAAAGACTGGTCTATCATAGTCATATTCAATATCAGCATATATATCATATACTGCGTTCAATGCTTCTACTGCACAGTCGGTAGACGTTGAGCCATCGGTTAAAAGTAACTGGAGAACACTTATAAGGAAATTTCCAATCGTCTACAAAATAAATAAAGAGGCCATGAATTTGATGTATAACTTTATTCGACTGAATGGCATTGCTATCATATTGATACTATTACACTTACTCTGTTAGCCTCAATAGCATTCTGTCTTCTTGCTATTGTACCCAAAGTGCCAATAATCTTTACTCTCAAACTATCGGATCTCGTGACCAAATACCAATTTATAAACTCGTTTATTTCACTTTCCGACACGGGCTATATAAGACATTATATAACAGTTAGCATTCTTACAACATTTATTTGGTCATGAACCACAAAAATCTGTTACTCACCACATAGCCCTTTAGTCCTCTAGCAACGCTCCATGCGCATCCAATCAGAGTCTCAATCAAATTCCTTCTTTCTTCCAACCCCTCTCCCTGCACACCTTCATTCTCTTTCGTAACGCCCAGCACCTTCTCGAGCCTATCTCTCCCACCAATACATTCTTTCAACCTTTGAATCAAACAAACCCATAATTCCTCTATTTCAAACTTTTTCTCTTCAAACCATTTGAATCCCCCTGCAACCTCAACTATAGTTAACAGGAAATTGTTCAAACACTCTACAGCTCTCAGATGAGTCGTTGACATAATTGTAATTATTTTCCGATGATGGATGCGAACAGCATCCGGGGCCGTGTCCGAGAATGATATGGATGTTGGCGTCGACAGAGCAATTAATTTTGGTGTAAGATCATGTGCGAGTGTCGTGAATACTGACAAAGATGCTGAGGAAAGATCGGTGAGTGCCCGAGAATAATTGGTATCAAGAGTAGCGGTGTCGAGTAGAACTCTTGAAACCGATGCGGAGGATTTTATCGAGTCTGTTGACATTGCGTCATCATTATCCTGTGGTTGCTCATCATTCTCGTCATCTGATGGAAGCGTGTCTTTTCCGTTATCCTCATCAGCTGAAGAGGTTTTACCATTGACCAAATTTCAATAAAAGATATCGGGGAAATAGAGGAATCATGATTTATATCATTACCATTTGGACTGCTCTCGGAACATATTTTGGCAACCAGTTCGAGTGCGCGTTGGGTAATTGTCAACCTTGTCTCAAGGGCTGCCTGCTTTTCCTAAGTATAATTACAAAACAGTAGCCGTTACTATATTTATCGTCAAGTCATTTCAAATATAGATTCGATTCTTACAAAAGTTTTGTCGCATGATTTTGGTTTTTCCAAATCCATTGCGGATGCTGATGACTCTTCTCTCGTCCCTTCAGTATTCTGTATGTACAGAAATTATTTATTAAGATGAATATACAACACACCTTACATAATCCGACATGCTTACATTACTTGTAATAATAAAATTAGCATCCGTCCTAGCTGCTTCTAGCGCGTCTGATACAGCTTCTGACGCTATTTGCTGTAAATTTATATCTAAGCACGACAGTAACAGGGGGAGCGTCATCTTTTTCATTTCTGTTGCTGCATCGCCGACATTTGCAGGACTTTGTAGATTCGATAAAATACCTTAGTGTAAGAATTACATGTCAATTAGCAATTAGATGTTTGATCAATATTAACAAACTCGTTGATTTAATTACCACATGCAAGAACTCTGACAAGCAGCCAGATATATTCGTCATATTGTTGAGGTTTAATGTAATCGCGTGCTGGAGTATTAATTACACTCGACAGTAGATTTACGTATTGAGGGTTGTCATTAAATCTTACAAGTAAGTCCTCATGCTCGTCTGTTATGGTATATAGACACTGGGCTACAAATGCGTAAGTAAAAATATGCATAAAAAAGTCTAGAGTAATTGATGAGAGTAAAACTTATCGAATCGTACGCTACCTGCAGCAAGAACCGGTTTAACGGGTATCTTATTAGATTGGGTAAAAAAGCTCATGAGGAAGGGCAATACATTCATATTATTAACCGCAATAAGGGCCTTCGATGACGATTCGCTTAAATTAAAAAATTAAGTATGAATTTCATTTGGGACTTTATAAATAATCCATTATCGATTAAGGACATACTAACCATAGTGCCGATATGATATAAATTATATTTTCCGCCAGGTCCCAAGCGCATTTTGGATCAATGACCATGGTATCGGTCTGATCGTTGGTAGATTGTGTGTCGTCATTTAATAATGATTTTTCAATTGCAGTAGAGGTCTGATAAACAACAGAGCAAAGCTATGTGTAAGTCTTGATTCGTTTTTGTATGCTACATACTTTCTGATAATGCCAACCTGAGGAATCAGAGCCATCAATGGTGTCAACACATCAGCATTATATAATTCAATACATGCATCATCTCCAGCTGTCACTGCCAAGTTCCTATATGATCATATTTGAAAATGCTGTCATTGTGTACAAAAGGGCACTGATAATTAGAAGCTTACCTCAATGCTCCAACGGCTTCAACAATAACATCATGAACATTATCTGTTAGACGCTCAATCAATTTCTTGGCCAATCCTTTTGATAGCAACAATTTTCTGGTTGTTTCATTAGTCGTTACGAGATTGGACACACACGCTGCTGCCCACGCTCTTTCCGTCGCATTAGGGCATGAGAGCTATAAAAAAAATCAAATTTTTATTTAGTCATGTACGATGGACAAGATAAATGAACAATTGGTCATAAAAATTGAAAGAAATTGGATAAATGCGTGCAGAAAAGGATTAACGCTCACCTTGTCAATAACGGGTATTATGACCTCTAACTGTTCCTGATCTGCAGCAGGCAAGGGAGAAGACCTGACTTTGTTTGGCGGCCGTTTTGTTTTACCCATATTAATAACTAGAACAGAATGAGAGAAATTCACGCGATGAACAGAAATTTTTGCTACAGTTACACAACGGAATCCTTAAATTTCAACAGACTAGGCTGAATGAAGCTGATTTTGAATATTTAGATTAAATTTCTTTAGTATTAGCAACAAATTATATTTCCTAAATTGGATCTGTAGATATAGATAATCAACCAACTTCTATATTCCCGTTAACAATGTTATACGCTGAGGTGGACGCGTCGACCGAACTTCAAAAAGAAAAAGAGACTTCAGTCAGTTATTTCTTATTATGCAGTTTCTTTTGGTCGGCAGTCTTTAGTAATTCCTCTTGTTCTTTAGGCAAGGGAGTTGCAATGGCTACTGAATACGGAACTTCCTCCTGTAATCCAAGACTTGGAAAAAGCATTAAAGGTGTCTTTCATTAACATCGTTATTGTGCATTACATAAAGAAATTATTGTCTTATTAAGAATGTCTTTGTTTTAGAAATGTTACTCCATGATGAAAAACGAAAATGAGGGTAACGACTCTTTTTTCGAATGCGTTCCCAACAGTCTTTACAAACTTTCTGATTTCAAAGATAACCGTTGCGTGATTTAGTAGAATCGGTCAGGAGTACATTAGCGATAACATCATCAAAGTAGGCACGTTCTGTATACTCGGATTGCGATTAACTACAGCTAATACTATAATACGCCTGTAGCAGCGATGCTTTGAAAGGATATATCATGTCAAGTGGAAGTAACATCTACAAGGGGGTTAGTAGTCATCCAACGGAGAATTGAAACTATTCATCATCATAACAGCTGCCTTAGTTTTCCACCTCCTTTTTAGGAACTCCAAATTAAACTTCCGAACTATAATCGCGGTAATATGGTCAAGGCGACTATTAATTCCGAGAAACCCTACTTCATCGATCAGGTGCATAAATACATATAGGTATCTTTCATTATGGTTGATAAAATTTACTCATTCGATTAAAATTTTAGCTGGGTGATGCACAAAACTATCTTGTTTTGACGTTGGATCTATTGGCGTCTTCTCATTTGCCGTACACAAAACAAAGTGCGATAGAGGTTAGTAAGCAAGAGAATGTGGTTATCAAACGGATACCCTACAATTAGCTAACTTATGTCATATGAAGCTACTGAACGATGTCAGTAAATATGTCAGCAAGAGTAGATCCGCATTGACCAACGTAAATGAAGGAAACCTCTTCCCTTATAAAATATGTGAATCTCAAGTATTTGTCAATTTCATTTAATAAATTATCTTGTTAAATACTTTACACTAATCGCTTTGTACCTTGTTAGGTATTCAATTCAGCATTACCAGATGACCTTGCAGTAGAGTTTCACGTAGAAGGCGCGGAAATTGTAACCAGTGTGTACGTACTACAGTATCATGCATCCCTACCATCTAATAAACTCAACATATTGAGTGCACACAAGAATCATCACAAATATCAGTATCCTTTATATGCTTCATTATGTTTTACATAAGTTAATTAAGGTAATATCTCTTGACCATTGCTTCTACATCTTATAGTAAATACAAGGATATCTATGTAACTATCATTGACGAAATTGTCGTCCGCTCACTTGATCCGAGTTTGGAAGAAATTGGAGCAAAGCTGAAGGAAATAGAGCAACAATGTTTGTCTTGGAGAAAAAAGATCACTGTGTTATAACACTAATTAGACATAATATATTTAAAACAATATAATTTGTTATTCATCGTCGGGTGAATCGTCGGCCTGTGTATTTATCACTTCATTTGCACTTAATGCATGGTGTCTAAACGTTTGCATAGGAATCAAAGAAAAATTATGTTTCGGCGTATGAATAATAAGCAACATCATGTTAAATGCTCAATGGCAAATCATATCACATTAAACCAATTCGTTACCTTATTAATATTTCCTCGACAACATTAGCATCGAATTCGCGTTCTCCAATCTCGTCAGTTACTTTGACCAGATTGGCAATTAGGAGGCCATTCTTGTATGCTAGCAAGGCAGGTAAACCAACAAGGTCAAATTCAACTTCTCGCGCTTGCACACGAAGAAATTTCACACTGATATACTTTCGCGCCAAATGTACCAAGCATTCGTTTAGCACACGACATTCTGGAATCTCCTTATTACGAATGAGAACTATTATCGGTAAGTCTACGACATACATAGAATTGGACGTCATTATTATCAAATCTTACATTTTCGTACAAGTGCACTATTACGGAGACGTCTGCTCCTTCGTTATCGATAGATTTGACATATTGACTTGCTGATATCTCTCTCAAACTGCCAAATAATGGTCCAGTTCGTTTCCTCAATGCTGCCTTCTGAATTTCCGACAATCGCTGCTCCCTATACCGACGTAGTACCTCTTCTTCATCGTCCGAGCTCATATTCTCCAGCTCTTGCAGTAATTTCTCGTCGGCTTCTTTCTTGGCTTGATCTTCACGATAAGTCGTAGTCGTTGGAGCTTTTGAAAGCATTCTCTTGTTGTGAGCGCTGATTTCGGCTGCTTTGCGTTCTCTTTCCATTTTCATGTAATGAGCATGATCTGCCAAGACGCCTTTTGGTCCTGTCTGTCGGCCTCCATGTTGTGATGGAACGGTTATTGCCGTCTCGGCTTGCTACAGAACCAACTGTATGAGAAAACAAAACCTGCGACAAATGTAATGATCTTGGTGGCTTCTTACATTAGACGTTGAGTCTTCTGTATCAGAATTACCAGATTCGTCTGACCTCTCTGGCTCCTTTTCATCATCCAAGGAGGCTCGAAGCATACTCTCAATTAGAGGATCCATTATTCAACTAAAAGAAGTTAGTACCACAAATTCCAAGAAATATTGCAAGAAGTTTTAATACCTTCCTATTTAGGGTATGTGAAATGCATGATCGCCAGGAATAGTTATAGTATGATTCATTATCATATGATCGGCGAATAAAATGTGGTGTTATTTTTGATCACGTTACATCAGTTATGTAATCCATTGTCGAGTCCTCATTTTCACCACGTGCCGACGTAGATTTACATAGCCAGTGGAAGAAGTTCAACTATCACGTTGGGATGACATTGTTTCGACGGCCCGGACTTTATCAACTAAAAGTTAACCAGAGGATTTTATTCAAGAAGTTTCATTGACTGCGAAATTTTTAGAAAAGTTTAAAAAAACTCCCCATTCTAGTAATCACTATCAAGCCTATGAAAGAGAAGAAGATTTCATAATACTGTTAAACTTAATGCTATTTAAAAAGGCGTGTAAACGAGGTTCAAAAGGACTGTCGATTTTCCTCTTGATATAAGTTCCTTGTTTAGTTAGTTGAACTTTATCAACGTTTAAGGTACAAACCTTGTATTTTTTGTTATTACACGGTACAACTTACTAAATTAAATCTTTTTTAGAATATAAAAACTGAATCTTAAGTATGGATACATTCGCAGACGAAGTCAGAGTGGTATTGAGAGTAGAAGGGGTAGAAGTCCGCCGTTATAGGTGAGAATTTTTGCTGAGTATTTGTTGAGTTGTTGTGTATCCGAAGTTACGCTGCCACTAGGTGTAAATCGGAGAAATTGAAAGCGCTTCGTGGCCACAGCTTGCGAAAGTCGCCAGTCAGGTACTCAGCCCTGGCGTACGGTGGACAGCCTGCTGTGAACGTTCAAATCTTCGTTACCGAAAAGTTGCCGTGCTCCGCCAGAACTGTGGTGAATAGGATACACGATATATTATACCGTGCGCCGCCAGATAATATATCTTGATAATGATGATACACATACTCACTTTCGATAATTTAATAGGCATGAACCGGGAGATGGTGGTGTAGATTTAAGTGGGGGCTTTAGGAAACGCACAATAATAATACAGTGTAAGGTAAATATTGTTGTTTTTCTTCCCTTTTTATTTCTTATCTATGCGTTAAAATAATAAAATTCTTACTCATATATTATTGTAGGGGGGTATGAGGGTGAGAGTAGGAGATGTAATTGCACTGGAGGGAGATAAAACAACTATCGGTATCTTAGTAGCTCGATCCGAACATAGATCTATAATTTTAGCGCAAAGAGGGAAAGATATATTTACTAATAGCGCAAAAGATAGGGCAAGGTCGTCTGAGTATAACATCATCCTAACGGATGAATTAAATGTATATTTGATCAACTTTATCGAGTCGCATCCGCTCGATAGCTCTAATAATGGTGGATGGAGACAAACGTGTGACCGTCTCTAACAGATTCACAACCTATCCCTACAACATCCTCCATTATCTTTTGGTTGCGTTAATTCTCTTTATATATTATTTTCATCATGTCGACATCATCCGACAACTTAGTAGCAAATGTAGGTACCGTATATATCAATCATCAGTTGATGCATTACACATGCGATCTGAGAAACACACGTAACTCTTGAGTAATAGAAATGGGTATTAATGACTACGTTACGTACGCGAAACACTTTTTAAGCATGGAAGAATCAAAGTGGCAATTAGTGGTCATTTAGCTACTTGTAGAATACCTGTTTGGTTGCCGATAAAGAACGTGCTTGCTTATTATTTATCAGTTTATAAAGTACAATGCAATATATTGTATAAAAAATGTTGATGTAAAATAGCTTGCAATCCAATGCGACGCAGATCTAGCCGTGAAAAGTGACTTAGATTACAATAGTTGTCCCTGAAATAGGAATAAAGCTTAAACTCGAGCATATCCTCGTACGTATGCTCTACTACTATTACTATCATATTGGGATCAAACTTGGAAAAACCATGTGGCAAAAACATTTATGGTGTACATTGATTTCTTCTATAGAAACGTCCGATGGCATACTCAATAATTGTATTCATCAATAAAGTTCTTAACCATCTGTTTACTAGAATAATATATCAGTCTTGTAAAATAATTACAAATGGCCTATATATTTTTTTTAAAACAATAATGTAGACACACTTTGTACAGTAATTGTCTGCTTATAACTTTGAGTTGTAAGCTTCCTCCGACAATTTGAATCTTCTGGGTTGCAGATTCCGTTAATATGTTGATTGCAACTAGCAGACATAGACAACGTATAAAAATAAATCGCTTTTCATATAGCCCAAATATAACATGGGAAGTCCAATAGTTTAGTCCAAGCAGTTTATGTGCTGCACATCGATATGATAATTTAAAGTAGACAGTTCCGTATAATTAAAGAGAGAGTCTCTGCAACGGCTAATAAACAAAAGGGATGGTTTTGAATCATGTATAACAAGCGATCACATAACAAAAAGATAAACTATTATACTCACCTTTAATTAGTTGTTGTTCTAATAATAGTTCTATTCTTGTGTTTCGGATGTCAAACCCGTCATAGCGGACTAGATTATGAAGCACTATAGCGAAGCGATTTACGAGGCTCCTTATAACAGAACTGTAACACCTTGGAGATCCATGTGATGTAACACAATAAACATTCTCACTTTAACTTGAAACCTTTTTTATTCAAACCATGTTCGTTAGTTCCAGGGATCAAGGATATGCATAATCCAGCAATTGACAACTTGGTTCAATCCTCCTTGGAGAGTGAAAATAAATACTTAAGACTTGAATGGATTCCTTA